TGGGCCCTCTGCTGATGCTGAACCAGCCTGTCCAAAGCTTCAGGACTGCTCTGCATCAAGAATTCACAACCCGAGATCCCAACAGTTTCATGGAGGGCTGCAATTCCCAAAACTGGTTTAGGAACGCAGGAAGCTGTCTTATGCTAGGCTGTCATTAAAATTCTAAATGAGCCAAAATGTAGGAAGCTGTCTAGCTCAGTACTGTCCACACTGACAGGCAGCAGCTCTTGAGGACTGCATGCAGGGAACAATCCCAACGTCACCTAGAGATGCCACTGGGAATTGAGCCTGGCTGGTTCTGCACACAAAGCAGATGCCCTCCTACTGAGCCATAGTCCATCCCAAGAGTCTAAGTGTCTGTCCTGCCTCCCAGGGACATTGTTAGAAAAAGCAGCTACTTGTGGCAAGCATGGAGTTCACTGCATCCCCTGACCCAGATTGTCCCATGCAACCCGACAGCCAATAATGACAGCCAGACATAGCATCATCCATGTGTATAGAATCACACCACAGAAATTTCCAAAGAGACAGACAAGTTTGTAATTAGCTGTTTCACCTGGAAAATGAAGCCTATCATCTCTCCTGCAGCAACATGTCAAATCAACCTGTAGACCAAACTACTCAGGGCCGACCCACCCATTAGCTTCACTGAGGCACTTGCCTCAGGCACAGGCTGAGGACAGCTGAGAGGGGCGGCATAACTGGAAAGAGAAGGGCATCCTCGCCTGCCTTCATTTCTCCTTTGGCTGCTGATAGGAGCTGCCATCCCAGGACAGTTCCTCTGCCGCTGCCCCTTGTTCCTCAATGGCCTCCTTTTTGCTCCCCTGACAGCTTCGGTGTGTTGAGGCTTCCCTGGGATGCCTCCAGTTGCCTGTGGCAGCAGTAGTGGGTGCCGTTTTCTGATCTGCCTCAAACAGCAAAATGTCTTGGACCGGCCCTGAAACTGCATGGCTGTTAAGGACGCAGGGATACCGCGACCAATTTCCAGAGTTATTCAGTAAATGCATTTTCGCCTCAGGAGCAATTGTGGCACTCATCCACAACTCCGAAATCCTGCTGTGTCTCGTAAGCCACAAGGCCCGCTAACGCCATGCCATCCTCGGCCTCCAGCTCAAATTCCCTTTGGCCAGCTCTCCGCAGCTAAAACACCTATCATTAAGCTATTTGGTGCACCCACAAATCCCAACCTGCTCGTCAAAAGAGGAAGCTCTAATACAGTTCTGCTCTGCCATTCCCCACAATGCTCAGCTCATACATCTGTGTTCTTCCAGTGTGTAAAAAACAAACAAAAACAAGGGTAGAAAACATGTGTCAGACCAAGGGCTACATTTTCCTCTCAGGCAACCTTCCAGGGGCCACATGTTGGTGGGTGGAGTCCAAGGCCAAAGAGGGCAGAGCAATGGATGTGAATTTCACCTTTCTATAGCAGCCTTCATTCTGACGTGTACCACCACCCAAGCAGCAGGCAATGACAGAGTTCAAGGGCAAAATAAAATGAAGGAGGGTGAAATGGTATGGGCTGTGGCTCGGAGAAAGTTATTAGGGCCAGACAGAGAGGTCCAGGGGGCCGCGCTAGGCCCCTGAAATTGAGCTTCCCCATCCCTGGTGCAAAACTCTTCATCCTTTTTTTAGAACACTGCTCTAAGGGACCTGCCTCCAGGTCTTCCAAAAACCAAGATAAGCTCAAGCATGGCTTGTTAAAGGTCCAAACTGAGGAAGCACACCTGGGCCATAGATAACACAAACCCTGCAACTGATCATAGGGAGTGCTGCAAAGATGGCAGCCAGCGTGGGGGGCATTGCAAGCAGATTCCCAAGGGCAGGAGTCTAGGTTTGCAGAGTGTTGGAGGAAGTGGTTAGAGAGAAGCTTCCCCTCCCCTTTGCACAATATCAGAACCTAACAGGGTCATACAATGAAGCTGAAAGGTTGGCGAGTCAGTACAAATTGTATTCCTCCACACACACACATTTTTTAAACAAAATTGCAATGTTAACTGATGGAACTCACTGCCACAAAATGCTGAAATGGCCCATTGGCTTAGATGCCTTTTAAAAGGGGGTATTATTATTATTAATTCAAATTATTATCTTCCCCATACACTCCCAGGGCATGCTGCGACAAAATATAAAATTAAGAAGCAGTTTAAAACAAATCACGAGAACAGCGGTGGGTCTTAAAAATATTTATCATGGGTGTCAAAGACCAGGGTAAATATCCTCAGTGAATTTTTCTGATAAGGCTACTAATAGCCGTTATTCCTGCATTGCAGGGGGGTTGGACTAGATGACCCTAGGAGTCCCTTCCGACTCTTTGATTCTAAGGCTACTTGTTATTCTGATTATGCAAACTGAGTCTTAATTCATACAAAGGCTTGCAATGGTCTCAGAATGTAGCCTCAGGGCACACCCAACACGCATGTGTCCATGTGCGCACGCCCACACCCACCCACAGCTGAATCTTCGAAGGCCGGCGTGTCTAAGCATTGCTTTTTTTAAAAAATCCTGGGTTTAATCCATCCAAGTTCTACTCAGAGGAGACCCACTGACATTTACGACCCTAAATTCACCACATCCATCAATTTCAATGGGTTGACTGCGCTGGATGCAACCTCCAATTTCCACCTTATTTTTAAGTTTTTTGGATTTACGCCTCTGTTTTTTTCCAAAAGCCCATCACAGTGAACTTAGGAAGAGTCCAGCTGCTGTTTCAGGTCCCAAAAGCCCTGTCTAGTCCAGCCTCCTGTTTTCACAGTGGCAAAGCAGATGCACCCAATGGGAAGCCCCAAAGCGGGACCCCATTCTATCTTCACAATCACCTTGCAAGGTAGACCAAAGTAAGAAATTGCTGTGACTGCCTCAAGTTAGTCCCATGGCCAGTGGGTCTCTCCACCCCCATTGTAGGGCAGATAAAAGGCACTTGGGGTGGCAGTGTTAGTGGTGAAGAAGCTGTTTATGGGCAGAGACCTTTTGCTGCTTATGCAGGGTGGTTGGCCTAGACGACCCCTGGGGTTCCTTCCAACTCTACAAATCTTGGATTCCAGGGTGAGAGGAAGAAAGGGTGCAACCTAACTTCCCAAGATCAGCTGCCAAGTCCCAAGAAACCAGGTAAATAGAAACCTGCAAGTCTGATCTTCCCATTCCAAACCAGTTTCCTCACAGCCTCTTTTCTCTCTTATAAGGGTACTTGAAGCTGGATCATTTTGTACATGAAAGCCACTGCCTGCCTTTTTTGCTCTCTAACCAACTGAGCTATCCAAAAACCCTTGCAACAGAAAGGCAAAAACACATCAGAAAGGAAGATCCCAATTTCTGACCTTGTTCCCCCAGCCTTAAATCCTTTAAAAAGAAATGCATTATTTCCTTTTCTTTGCTGAGACCACCATGACTCCTCTCCCAGGAAACTGTTTTATCATGGACATAAAACACACCTCCTCTTCCCTCCCCCCCCCTTCTCCTCTCTCCATTGCAGTCTTGGGGGTGAACACAGCAATGACACAGATTTCCTTCCTCAAGTTGAGAAATACAAATGATTATTTTTTAAATAGGAAACGTCACTTGCTCCTCTCACAAACCTTCACCAACGCTGCAATATTTTTGAGGGGGGGAGGGGAGAAGGAGGAGGGGGTTGCAGCCAATGTTAGTCCTACGCGGAGTAGACCTATTGAAATCTCTCGTGATAGGACCAACTCAAGTCCTTACATTCCAATGGGTCTACTCCGAATAGTTTGATGCAGCGCTTGGGTTCTTTTAACGACAGTACTCATTATGACATTCCAGAGGGCAATTATTAATTATGCATATAATTAATACGGACATGTGTGCACATACTCATTCACTGGCTATCTCTTCCCCTCCCCTTTCTCAACTGTGGAAACATCTGGGGTTTTTTTGTAAAAAAGAAGAAAAAAATGAGCTAGTAAACACTACATTGCAGAGGAGGGAACACGAGGAGGAAAACCGTTATTTTCAGGCGGCAGAGAATAAGGCGTGTAGAGAGGCGAGCAGAGATAACTACTGTTGAGATCTAAGGACTTACTCAGAGTAGGCTCACTGCAATCAATATATTTTAGTGTTTGTTTTAAATATTTCCCCTGGTCCTCTGCTTGCAAATTGTTTTACCTGATTTAATGTTATGATTTTATACCTTTGCAGCCCCACTCAGGGACATATTTATGGCAAAAGCTTAGGGTAACTGGCCTTAATATTTTGTGTGTGTGTGCTGCTCATACCTGCTGTGTTATCTTACTGCGTAGGATTTGTATCCAGTGTTAGCCCCCCTCAAGAGTAGACCCCTCGAAATAAAACGAGCATGACTAATTTAAGCACACGGATTTCAAGTGGGTCTGCTCTGCGCGGAACCAACCTTGTGGTTATTAGGGGGTTGTACCCAATCTCCACCACTACCGTAAGTCCATTGATTTCTAACGGGTCTACTCTATGTAAGACTTACTTGGCTTCCACCCATAGAAAGACCGGCTTTTGCATTCCAATAAACCCTATTCAATAGTATACCCACTAAAATGAATACAGTAGACCCAAACTAACTATACCCCTTATTTCCAATGGGTCTACTCTTAGGAGGTCGAATATTAGCCGAAACCTGGAGGTTGGCTTTTATTTTTGGAGGAGTTAACTTTCTCACACCATTTTCTACGAAGACTTAAATTGCCAATAGAATAAAGACCTAACTTTATTGCACTGTTTTCCTATGCAGATTTAGAACTCTAATAGAATGCCTATCTGTATCTAACCTTATCGCAGCTTTCCATGCAGATCCAAACCCCCAGCATTTTGTGTGTGTGAGTAAGTGAGAGGGAGACATGCATGAAGTTACGCGCTCGTCGCCCCCCACCCCCAGCACAGGAATAATGCAATCCCTCTCCCCCACATGCTGCTGCTCAGCCATGTAGAAATAGCCCCCACCCACACACTGCAAAAATCCATGCCTCTCTTCCACGACCACCAACCCATTTCTTCCTCTTGCTGCTGCTTCTACTTACCCAAAGCTCCGTGCCCCAACTCATGGCTCCGGCGACGGGTGGGCTAGGGGGCCGGCCCTGGGTGCGATATTCAACGCCGGGGGGTCCACACCCCCTCGTCCTGCGCCTGCCACCCCAAAAGCGAGGCCAGCACCCCTCCAAACCGCTTGCAAAAAGAGCATAAGCTTGCAAAACTACAATATAGCAACAATAATAGAGCTTTGTGCCCTTGATTTGATTGCTTGCTGGGTTGCCTCCTCTCGTGGCTATTGTTGCTACCACCTCATTGCTGCCTCCAGAGCAAAATGGCCAAAGCAGCAGCAGCGGCAGCAAAATCAAGCGAGTAGCTCTCAGAGTAGTAAAGGGAGGAGACCCAGGGAGGAATTGACAGCACCTGGGAAGCGCGCATGCGCCCGGAAGTAAGGCGCATGCAAGGAGGAGGGGGGGATTCAGTAGTCTGGTGCTGGGATTGCGCAGGCGCCAAGAGTGGGCTCAACTGATGCTCCAGGGGAATTTTATTTTATTTTATTGAGCCAAGCTGTCAAGTGAAGCTCCTCAAATCTCAGTGCAGCATCCTAAGGCTTTGCAGCAGAGATGCAACTGTGGTACAGATTTGGTACAGGTTTTCTTATTTCGTTTTGTAATGCACGGAAAGCAGAAAAAAACCCAGTTATAACTACAGATGGAAACGAAAAGATTAAAAACAAAACTATAGAATAGGCACGTAGAATGAGTCCATTTGCATTTGGGTTAAAATGATGAAGTCCAGCTCATAAAAAGAAGAGCATGAATAAACTTTGCCTTCACATATAGAATATTAACGTAATCTCATTATCAAGTATAGTTCCAGATGCCTTGAAAAATATTAGATGGTGCAGTTTCGGAATGTGGCCCACTGTGGCACGTGTAAATGGTGTAGCAGGAACCCCCCCACCCCAATCATTCTGCTTGTACAAACTTCACACACACACACACTCACACACTACATACGCCACATTTCTGTTATAAATTCATAGAAAATCAACCATACATTGGATTTGCACTGTTCCATTTTTATTTTACTCCATATGACAAGAACTAACAAAAGGGGAGGGGGGTTTGACCCTGGTCAGCCAAAATCCCTTCACTGTCTCAGCACATCTGCAGGAGCCCTGCCCAGATGATCCCAGACAGAAGACAATCAAGACCACAAAGAACTTGCATATGGGAGTGGATTCAGCATGGACTGAAACAAAGGACAATGATCAGATCTTCCCTCAGGGGGCAGGAAACTGCAAACTCCCCTTTGTTTCCTGGAAGTGACTCATGGGGAGGGGGGAGAGGAGGAACCAGCCAGGTGACAAGACACTCAGGTTACCACCAACTCCTCCCTCAACCCCTCCTTTCTGTAATGTATGCATGATGTTTCTGGGGGTGGGCTTGACCTAGAGGAGGGGAATTTCAAAAGTTTTTATAAGACCTGACACACTATTTTTCTGGGTCTTTCCTCTCTCCTGCAAGTGAGGGGAACACCCTGATGCATCAGTTCAATAAAGGCCAAGCCTACAGGCTGCTGTTTTGCTCCAAGTTATCCTGGTTGGTGTCTTTGTTTTGTCCAAGGGAGCCCTCGGATTTTTCCTGCAACAATGGACAGGAGGTGAAACCCAGAGACCACCACCCATAATTCTATATTTGAGAATATTTGGTGTGCACACTGCAGCCCCCAAATCATCCTCCTCCTTTTACACACATGAGCCATTGCAAAATGCTTCCAGGTGCTTCACAGGAAGTGTGGTGAAGTGGTTAGAGTATTGGATTAGGACTTGGGAGAGCAGGGTTCAAATGGGCCATGAAGCTTGCTGGGTGATCTTAAGTGAGTCACTGCCTAGCTGACTATCCTACCTTACAGGGTTGTCATGGGAATTAAATTGGGGGGGGGGGACACACCATGTATGCCACCTTCTTCACTGTGCTGTGTTTCCAAGTGATGCCCACTGCAGTGTTGAATAGCCACTACAATAAGGTCCCATACTCAGACAGACTTTGTAGTTGTGGTCAACCTCAAGTGGAAGACATTGCTCATTATCTGTTGCCTGCTCCTTATATAGAGACCCAGAATATCAGTTTCCGAAACCTTTGATCACGCAAGCAAGCAGGTGCATCCCAACAGAAGTAGTTGGGTTTCTTTTGAGTGACAATAATAGCCTCGTAGCAGACAGAGGGGCTCCTCTATGCACTGACTGTCCCCCCCCAAAAAAAAAAATCAGGAAAAATTAGTTAGATGAAATCATTATAAATTGTTGTGATTCAGAGTTTACTTTGAAAGCAAACTGGAATTGAGTTTGTTGGTGTCTCCTGTTAGCTCTCTCTTACTTCATGTAAAAAAGGTGTAGGTATAAAAACATTGTTTATATAAAAAGGTAAACAATATTCACACAAGGCATCAGATCAAATCCAATATAGCAAATCCAAAATACCAACTGGTATTTTATCTTGCTCTTCAGCCAAAAAGGCTATCAGGGTCACTTAAAAAAAACCTCCTCCAGCTTATTATTATCTTTAGAGACATGGCACCAAAGGGAAAGTGGATTGGGAGGGAGAAGGAAAGAAGCAAACTCAGCAACAACATTGTAGATACAAGAACTACGTAGCACAGTGGGCCCTACTTTAAAGTAGGAGCATAGGTTTATGCTAATTAGACGAGTCCCACTTTACTGATTTGAAACTTAACTTCTCCGTATACATGTATGGGATTGCCCTGCAAAAGCCACTTTTTCAACTGATGATTTCCTAGGGGCAGTTTCCAATTCCCCTCATCCCTGACCTTTGGCCATGTTTTCCGGGGCTGATGGGAACTAGAGTTTAACAACATCTGGAGGTCATCAGCTTTGGTACCTCTTTTACAGAGACAGTTTTACTACAGTTGCATGGGCCCCTTAAAGACTAACAGATTTATTGTGGCATAAGTTTTGGATGAGGGCAAGTAGCTCAGGGGTAGAGCACCTGCTTTGTATGCAGGTCCCAGGTTCAATCCCTGGGATCTCCAGGTAAAACTCCCATCCTGAAACCCTAGAGAGCTGCTGCCAGTTAGTGTAGACAGTACTGCGCTAGATGGAGCAACAGCTTGTTGCTTCTTTTTAAAAATCATACCTTTATTTACAACCAGGAAGACTGGAATCTTATTTTCTTTGGGGAGGGGAGAAGACTGTAACTCAGTGGTATACTCTTAAGAAGGCCCTCAGGTTCAATCTCTGGCATCTCCATGTAGGGCCGGGGAAGCCTGCAAACATGACCTGAGTACCCTCTTGTGTGGTTGTTCCCAACAACTGGGATTCAGAAACAGGCTGCAGCTGGAGGTGGATGTAAGCGGAGGTGTGCCAAATCAAGCCAACAGGCTCATTCAGTCCAGCCTCCTGTTCTCACAAGGGAGCATCGCAGCAGATACACTGCATTGTTTGATGATGTCCTCTCATTTCTACTTTGCTTTGGGTGGCAACACTGCATTTCTTTCTCACTGTGCACGATGGACCAGGAGTCAGCTTCGCCTGTTGAACAGCAGCCTGAAGGGGGGGAAAGGCGAGGCAAAGTGACTCGTACCCAGTCCCAGTCCAAAAACCATGCCTATGCCCAGACCAATGCCCAGTCCCAGACCAATGCCCCACAGCCAGTCGCAGTCCACTGCCCATGACTGGACTTGGGCCAGGGTGTGGGGCAGCACAGAGGGTCTCTGTTTCAATCATAGTCTCAGAGAGCAGACAACAGACCTCAAGGAACTGTTGCCAGTGAAGAAAAGACTGAGATACACAGATCACTAGTCTCACCCTGCATGAAGAAAAGTTGTGTCTTGCTCTGCCCCCAGGGAATCCCCTGATTTCCATGAAATGTGGATCCAATTATAATCATTACTTTATTTATATTCCACCTTTCCTCCAAGGAGCTCAAGGTGGCGGTGCATAGTTCTCCGTCTTCCCATGTTATTCCCACAACAACCCTGTGAGGTAGATAAAGATGAGAGGCAGTGGCTGCCCCAAGGTCATATACCCAGTGAGCTTTATGGTGGTGGGGGAGAGGGGAGATTTGCACCCTTTCCTAGTCCGACACTCTAACCATGACACCACATGGCCTCTCATTAAGTCAGTCATTTCCTTTAATATTGGTTACAGAAAACAACATGGTAAATGAAAAAGAATACTACTATATATGATGGTAGATACAGTGGTACCTATGGTTACGTACTTAATTTGTTCCGGAGGTCCGTTCTTAACCTGAAACTGTTCTTAACCCGAAGCACCACTTTAGCTAATGAAGCCTCCTGCTGCCGCTGTACCGCTGCTGCACAATTTTTGTTCTCATCCTGAAGCAAAGTTCTTAACCCGAGGTACTATTTCTGGGTTAGCAGAGTCTGTAACCTGAAGCGTATGTAACCTGAAGCGTATGTAACCTGAAGCGTATGTAACCCGAGGTACCACTGTAGAACATTATACTGAGCAGATAATTCTTAATCTTTGCAGAATAGATTGTGTTTTTAAAAATGCAATCTGAATCCTGAAATACTGTTCATGGGAAGAGGGGGTAATTCATGTTTATGCACAGTATTATTATTTTTGTAAAAAAGAAATTATTGGTAAAATAAAACATACTGTATAATGTTGTTAAGCTCCCCCCCTATTCCTATCTGTAATTTGGGGGAAGGGGGGATTTCTAGGGGAGGGGGCAAATTTAAGACACTTCAAATTAAGCCTTATTAAGCTCTATACAGATTAAGGCCAAAACAAGGTTCTGTCCACTGAAGCAATATAGGCAGAATTGGTTGTTTTGAAATGTACTGTAGTAATGGGGAAAATGCGTCATCCCCCTCTCCTGGTAATTATTTCCTGTCCCAGATAAGTTTCTGGGTGGAAAGTGGTGGGGCTGGGGTGGGCAAATAATACCCCTACCCCTGCCAAACCTAACTGTGTAACATTAACTCAAAACAAAACCAGTGTGAAAACACTGATAGGAAGAAAGGGGGGCACCCTAGGATGCTGTTGGAGAGGAACAAAGGCCTCCATTTGTTATTTTAATCCTTTGAGGTTAGGGGTGCAAAATTACTTGAGAGGAAAGGGGATGGCCTGCTCTTGTGTTTTGAAAATAAACTTGTGAACATGGTGATAAATATTTATGCCAACAGGGAGTGGGATAAGACGCCTTATCACCTGCTAACGTCTGGCTGCAAAGGGCTGCTGATAGTGGAAGAGCTCAGATGGAATGTGTATTGAAAATAAACGAGAGAGAAGAGAGAGAGAGAGAGAGAGAGAGAGAGAGAGAGTCCCGCTTGTTGCTCTCTGAGCCAGGCTCATATTTGGTGAGGTCTGCCAAGCTTTTACCAGCTCTGTTGTATTTCCCTTTTACAGT